CTCTGTCCCTCCTCCTCCAGCTCTGTCCCTCCTCTCCAGCTCTGTCCCTCCTCCTCCAGCTCCCCCAGCTCTGTCCCTCCTCCTCCAGCTCCCCCAGCTCTGTCCCTCCTCCCCCGGCTCTGTCCCTCCTCCCCCGGCTCTGTCCCTCCTCCTCCAGCTCTGTCCCTCCTCCTCCAGCTCCCCCAGCTCTGTCCCTCCTCCTCCAGCTCCCCCAGCTCTGTCCCTCCTCCCCTGGCTCTGTCCCTCCTCCCCCGGCTCTGTCCCTCCTCCTCCAGCTCCCCCGGCTCTGTCCCTCCTCCCCGGCTCTGTCCCTCCCCCCCCGGGCTCTATCCCTCCTCCCCGGCTCTGTCCCTCCTCCCCTGGCTCTGTTCCTCCTCCCCCAGCTCTGTCCCTCCTCCTCCAGCTCTGTCCCTCCTCTCCAGCTCTGTCCCTCCTCCTCCAGCTCCCCCGGCTCTGTCCCTCCTCCCTGGCTCTATCCCTCCTCCCCCGGCTCTGTCCCTCCTCCCCCGGCTCTGTCCCTCCTCCCCGGCTCTGTCCATCCCTTGCCATCTTCGCTCTTCTCATCCAGGCTTTGGGGCAGGGAGGAACGGCTTGTGCTGTGACGTTAGGAAAGAGAGCCGGGAAGGGGGCACAAACTACCGTCATTGTCATAAATCCCTGAAATGTTGCGCAGCCAAGTGAAGCGCCCTCTGCTCCCGGACCGGGTCTGTGGCTTGCAAGTCAGCCGTTGGGTTGAAGGCAGTGAGCGACACATGTGGGTGTATCTGGGTGGGAAGAGTTGGGGACTCAGCCATGGGGCTCTGAGTACAGTCCCGTGGAGAGCCTGTGTGTGCCAGGTGTCCAGTAGGGGTTTGGTTTGCAGCAGAGGAGCGCAGCTTGACAGGCTAGCGTTCTCCCCGGCCCATCTGCCTTTGTAAATGGGATGTGAACTCCTTGGAAGAGCTGTTAGGGACTTGCTGGGAGAGTGAACCGTCACACTGCGGTCACGGTCACGTACGGTGCCGTTACTGCTGCTGCCCCTCCCGCCCCTCAGTATGGAAGAATTGTGCAAGGTCAAGTTCGTCGGCGGCTAAGTGCCCAGGCACCCCAGGGCTCTGTCGGCAGAGCAGCTGGGGATCCCCTGACCTTCAGGCTAGAAATGTTTCTTTGCCATGTGACTTCTGAGCGTTTGGAAGGAAACAAAACATGTCTTCAAATGTTGGCATTCCCACAGCGAAAGCCCAAGGAATGGGCCTTGAAACTGAAGAAAATCTAGCAACGGAATTCTAGACTTTTGTAGAACCCTGGAATCCAACCATTTAGGGCTTTTGTGACCCAGCTTTTTCTTTCTTTTGTTGTCAAATAGACATAACATAAAATTGATCCTTTTCCCCAATCATGGCATCAAGTCAAATTCACATTGTTCTGTTCACCTTCCATCCCCAGACCTCCTTCATCTTCCCAGATTGAAGCTCTGCCCCGTGGAGTGAGCGAGCAAGGCCTTCCTCCACACACACACACACACACACACACACACACCCCGCCTTGGCTAGCATCATCTGCCTTCTCTCTCAGCACCATGTCCGCGACTCATACGGCATTTGCCCTGTGGCTGCCTTACTTCAAGTGGCAGCATGTCCTCTGGGCTTCTCCGGGCTTCCTAGTCAGGAAGCTAACTAGGACCAGAAATACCCTGTTGTAGGAAGAGACCACACTGTGGTCTCGTTCAAGTTCATGATCTCATTCCCACAGTCACCTGTCAACAGATGCAACGCTTGCCCCCCCATACCCCCCCTGCCCCCCCGGCTTTCTGTGAGTGCAGCTGCCATGAACAGGGGTATACTTCCGCCACATGAACACGGGTGTACTGCCACCACATGAACACGGGTGTACTGCCACCACATGAACACGGGTGTACTGCCACCACATGAACACGGGTGTACTGCCACCACATGGCAGAAGTCATTCTCAGCATCCAAGAACTAGCTGCCTCACACGGCTGTGGGGTGGCGAACACCTGTGTCCCTGCCCCTGGGATCATTCTGTATTGACGTATTTTATTACCGTTATGTAGTCGTACATGTCAGGTTATGAGTATAATGCATCCCCAGCCCGTCTCCCCTTCCGCCGTTCTCCTCCCTCCCTCCCAACCCCACCCATCTGGGATTGGTTTTGTTTGTTTTACTTATTTATTTGGTCAGTCGAGGGCCTGAACTCAGCCTGGGCGCTGTCCCTCAGCTCCTCAGCTCAAGGCTAGCGCTCTACCACTTGAGCCACAGCGCCACTTCCAGCTTTTTCTGCTTATGTGGTACTGAGGGATGGAACCCAGGGCCCCATGCATGCAAGGCAAGCACTCTACCACTGAGCCACCTTCTGGGATTGTTTTTAAATCGCATCCTTTCAGGTGAGGCCCAAGGTCACAAGCAGGACCGCCTGGCGTGACTTCCGGGACTAAACAGGCTCTGGGTTTGTGTCACAGGAGCGCCTGATCCTGTGCCAGGCGTTGGGGTCAATCATCATGTTGGGGGGTGGGGGGGCTGCTGCAGGTGAGCCCCTCACTGCCTGACTAATGGTTTCTCTCTTCTCACGCCTGCCCTCCCGCCTCGTCCTCCTGGCCCTTCCCCGTTGCCTCTCTGCCTCCTCCTGGCTGACTCCTGCCGCTCTCCAGTGCGACCAAGACCAGTGCATTCAGAGCACCAAATTCGTTTTGCAGGCCGCAGCCACACCCCTGCTGCAGAGCGAGCCCAGCCTGACCAGCGAGGAGCTGCACCTGCCGGGGAAGCCGGGGCTGGGCACGCCGTGCACCAGCCTGACCCTGGGCCAGCCCACCCCACCCTCCTCCATGCCCAACCTGGCCACCCAGACCACACTGTCAGACATTCTGCCACTGAAGGACGAGCACGGGGGCCACCAGTTCCTGACCCCGGACGAGGCGCCCTCGCCACGGCGGATGCTGGCGGGCGGCAGCCCCCTGGCACACAGCCGCACCATGCACGTGCTGGGCCTGGCCAGCCAGGACTCGCTGCACGAGGACTCTGTGCGAGGCCTGGTGAAGCTCAGCTCCGTGTGACCCAGGTGGCTGCCCGGGGAGCGCAGGGCTCGTCCCTGGGCAGTGGGGGGCTCACCCACCCCGGGGAGGCAGCAGCCTCGGGGCCTGGGACACAGAGAGCGCTTAGAGACCTAATGGCACAAGACAGGCGGGCACCGGACGCAGCCCGAGTGCTTAGACAAGAAGAAGAGGAAGAGGAGGAAGAGAGAAAGGGCCATCTTCAGGCCTTTGGACTCTGGGGGTAACCTCGGGGAGGGAGGACCCTCAGAAGGAAAGAAGCTGCCTGTAGGCCACAGCACAGGTGGCAAGCGCAGGGCCGCGAGTTCAAACACCAGGACTGACGACGCTGCCTGGGTGCTGTGCTTCCTGTCTGCTGCTGGTAGACCAGATACCCGGAAGGTTTCCAACGCCAGTGGCCAGACTGAAATTGCATCTGCTGTTCCACTACTTGTATTTGAAATAGACATGTCCTTTTGTTTGTAATTGAGAAGAAATCTTAAAAAGGGAGAGAGAGAGAGAGAGAGGGGAGACCAGATGCGGATTTGCATGCCACGCTGCAGTCTGTGTTCCGGTGCTGTGGGTATTCCAAAGGAAACGCTGCTTTCTTTCTTAGTTTAATTTCGTGAAACTGTCGAGTGCTGTTGTGTTGGAAGACAGTGCAATAGCCAGGGCTGTGGGGCGCTGCGGCCTGGCGTCCCGCGGTGGGCGGGGCCGTGGTAGAGGCTGCTGGGGCCTGTCCAGGCCACGGCCTGTCACCGTCTGTCTGTTCAGTACCTAGGGAGGCTCTGTGTCCAGCCACCCTGCCGCAGCCCTCCTGGGTGACGAACTCCCTCCGGACAGCCAATAAAGCGGTGACCTCCGTCATGTCGCCTGTGCGTGTGGTGATCCTTTCCTGAGAGCCCAGCCTGGCGCCTGCAGAGAGCTCGGTCTGTTTTTGGTTTTGTTGGGTTCGAGACAACCCAATTTGAAATCTTTGGGTTGTGGGCTAGAGAACGGTTGTAGGATGATTTCTTAGATAAAAGATGACTTTCCTGTCCACTTCTCTCAACCCTTTATCTGTGTTCAAGGCTCTTGACTGACCTTGTCCTCCACTAACAGATTCCCACGCAGGGGTGACTGGCAGTCATTGGAGGGAATGGTAGGAGCAGGCTGCTGACAGTCATTGGAGGGAATGGTAGGAGCAGGCTGCTGACAGGCTGTGCGCCCAGTGCCATGCAGTGCTGCTGTGCCCACACACCTCAGAAGCACCAAACCTCAGAGGTCTTGGTAAAGGTGCCAAAAATAAGGAGGAAATCCAGGCGCCAGTGGCTCATGCCTTTAATCCGAGCAACTCAGGAGGCTGAGATCTGAGACTCAAGATTCAGAGCCAGCCCAGGCAGAAAAGTACTTGAGACTCATCTCTAATTAACTACCAAAAAGCCAAGAGTAGAGTTGTGGTTCAAGTGGTAGAATGCTAGCCTTGAGCACTGAGTTCAAGCCCCAGTAGAGAAGATTGGGAAAGATTTGGCCCAGATGGTACATCACATGCCTAGTAAGTGCAAGACCCTGAGTTCAAACCTCCACACCACCACATTCAGCACGGGGTGGATGATGTTGGGAAGCAGACAGTGATGGAATTAAGGTGAGTGGTGCGGACCCGCCGCACGCTCAGGAGAGTCTCCTGGAGGCAGGGGGAAGCCAGCCCCGCGGGGCTGCATTCCAATGCTGCTTCCAAAGGGGATTCCAAGTCAGGGGTTTTTCCCTTACAACCATCTGAAAGTAACATACTTGGCTCTCACATGCAAGCAGCCCTACGTGACTCGCACCAATAGGAAGGGCGGCTCTCTTCTAGAAAGAGTTGCCATTGTATGTGAAAGAAAAGGAAGACCAAAAAGCATAATTTCAGGCATTAATTGGGACACAAACCAATCCTGTTGGGGACATCACTCTAAAGCCCTCTTTTGATGTGTGGAGCCGGCTTTATTTCTCATGCTGCATGCAAGTATGAAAACACGGAAAAGGTAAAGTACATGTTGCCATTTATTTTTCCACTTTTTTCACCTCCCCCTGCTAAAACCTATGTACAGTTTAGGCCAGAGCCCTCCTTACACAATCACACACACACTCACATGCTCGGCCTGTGAACACAATGCCGGCCTCACAAAGGACCTGTGGACCTTCTGCATCTTCTCCAACCATGCCTGCCTCCCGCCTGCCCTCTCTCCTGCCCTCTCCCCTGCCCCCCCCCCCGCAGGCCCTGGGAGAGAGTTGGGATGATAAGAAATGAAAGGAAAGGTGACTCCGCACCACTCCAGGTTATGTATGACTTGTCCATTCCAGATCTTTGCCCCTGGAAAGCAAAGACTGGCCTCTCTCTCTCTTTTTTTTGAGGGGAAGGGGACAGGGCAAGTACTGGAGTTTTTAACTCATACTTGCCAGCCAGACACTATGCCACTGAGCCAGGCCAGCCTTTCTTTACTTGTTACTTAGGAGAGTCTTTCGCTGTGGCATATGTCTAGACTGTAATCCTCCTATTTTTTCATATCCCATCATTCCTGGGATGACAGACCTATCCCGCTAGTTTCAGTCCTTCCATTGAGATGGGTCTCAAGAGCTACTCTGCCTGTTAGCCTGGAAGCTCAATCTCTGATCTCAGCTACCCTAGCAGCTAGGATTACAGGCAGGAGCCACCAGCACCCAGCTGTTCCCATCATTCTTTAATATAGTGATTTCTGATATTTCTATAATAAGCCCTCATTATGAAAAAAATCCAAGAAGCAGGGATCATTATGAGTAACAATGTAGTTGGCCCTCTGTCTCCTCTGGTTCTATATTCATGAAATCAACCAACTGCTGATTGAAAATATTTGAAAACCAATTGTGTGTACACTGAACATGTGTGGACTTTTCTTCACCCTTATGTCCTAAACAGAACATTATAACAGCTATTTTTATAGTGTTTACATTGTATTGGGTATTAGTCATCTAGAGATAATCTAAATTATTGGGGATTGCATGCATAAGTTATATACAAATGCTGTACACATTTCAGACAAAGGACTTCACCACCCAAGAATTTTGGTATTTGTGGCTGCCCTAGCACCAAACCCCTAAGGAGACTGAGAAGTGATCATGGTTTGTATGACCCTCCTGCCGGGCATATCCATGCCATCCTTTATCAAAGAAGGTTGGAGCATTTTGGTGGCCTGAACAAGGCTACTCAGGGTGTAGAGGGAGAATAATTTGAACAGATTTGCTGAGACATCTTAAAAACAATTACAAGGGTGCCCACAGCCTTTTCCCATGTGGCTTGGGAACAGCAATTGTGTTCCCAGGGCTCCCCCAATGGTAGGTGGGGGGGATGGGGGGGATTTGTTATCTGATGATGACAGGGTTCAGCGTTTCCCTTTAACACACACACACACACACACACACACACACACACACACACACACTTGCATGTGTCCATCTACTGTGGCTGAGTAGGCCTAGATATTTCTAAATGCTTCCAATGAGTTCATAATTGATTGCATGCTGGCTAGGGGGAAAAAAAGAAGATAAATATTTTATCATGCTATTAAGCCTTGGACATACACACACACACACGCTTCTGTTGAAAATTTCATCTGCTTTCATTTCCTCAGGAATGCTCTGGGGCCTCCAGGCCTTCCCAGGCATGCAGAGGCTGAATTTAGCCTGAGTGCCCAGCCAGGTCTGCCGCCAGAGCACGAAAATGCAGACAGCCTGCTTCTGACAGGGCGTGATGACAGGTCACTTGCTGGGGCAGTCAGCCCGGCATTTGTGCTGTGCTTGCTTAAGAAAAGCTGCTTCCAGCTTTCCAGTGGGATTTTTCAACCAGAAGAATAATGGCCGTGTCCCACCTGAGCCAGCAAAGACCAGATCACCGTCTGGTTTCCTTAACTCTCCACCCCTAAGTGTGTCCGGTCTTCCTTTGTGACCAGCATGCCAGATGGATTCAGACAGGCGCAGAGCCATGTCACTGGGACAGGAGTTCATCATCCCAGAGCTTGTCCTGCCCTGGGCCTGGGGGTCGCTGGCCTCCAAAGGCGCAGATGGAACCATCTGTGAGGACGGGAAGGCAAGCCCGCCCCATCCTCTTCAGGATCCAACTGCACCCCAACTTAGCTTTGCAATTTGGAGCTCATTGCAAAGTATCAGAACAGGGATCGTACCCAGACGTTCAACCACCCCAGGGCTCTGTTCTGCTCACGTAATTTTTGACCAGGTTAAAAAGAAAACAACAAGAAATAAATATGGAATCTATTTTCTAAGTGCTGCTTACAACTGTTCTAAATCTGAGCCTAAATCAAATTGATGTTTATATTTTTGTATTGAATGCATGAGTTGTGGGAATTGGAAAAAAAGAGAGAGAGACTTTCAAATGAGCTCTTATTCCTCCTGGTCCCGGTTACCTATTCTGGAGGTCTGTGTGTGGCATTGTATGCTGTTACCACATTAAAAAAAAAAACAACTGTCAGTCACTCAGTCTCTCCCCCTCTCCCTTTCTCTTCTTCAAGAAAAGTTATCATTGAGATTTTAAATGAGCTAAAGTGTCCTTTTGTTTCTAGGAATGTCACGGATACTAATAGTTTTGTAAATCAGTAAGATCATGCAGACAAGATGGATTTTCAAACATAAGTGGCTAATCCACACACTGAAAATAATTGGGAGATGAAAGATGAGATTAGATTGTCTCTGGGGTAACGGTACTTACAGCTGCCACAGAACTAGATAAATGGCTTCAAATGGAATTGTTTTTTGATCTCATAAACCACAGAAATGACTATCAGAATGGATCAGAGCACGCAGAAGCACCCAATGTGAGTGCAAGATTTTTCTATCAATTGGTAATTGATGAAATTTTAGACAGAAAAAGTTTTGATGAACATGTGAATGAACTCTTCTCATTGGCCTGGGTATTTTAAGATTCATAGTTAAAGCAAGAGTCCATGTGCCACATCCAAAGAGGCCTGATGTGGCGGGGAGGGGAAGTCTACATGAATGTTTTTAACCTACAAGGGGACAGAAGGGGGAAGCCTTCCCAGAATTTTGCCCAGAGCATTAGGCAACTCACAACAGTTCAACGTCCTGGCATGAAAATGAACAGCAAAGCATTTTAAAGCCTTCGTGGATTCAAACGTGAACGCCTGCACACACGCGTCGTGTTTTTAGAGAGGTGTGTGTGGCCAGTGCCTCCCATGTTTGAGGCAATGTCTGCAGAACGGATCTTAAACCAGGAACCTGTTCAGAAAGCATTTGCTCCTGCAGTACAAAAGTACCCGCGGGTCAACATGCCCATGTCAGTCTCCTGAGAGACACCGTCGAGGTCAAGGAGGAAGAGGAAGTCAAGCCACCCTGTCCTCCGTGGGCGCGTGCTGTGTGGACCTTCGTAGGTTCTACACAACCGCATCCTGGCTGCTGCGTATTGACAGCTGTGGTTCTCCACCTTTTCAATCCACAAGTCACTTTAAAGCAATGTAGAA